AAGAAAGAAATCTTTCCAGTTGCATCCACATGGATGGACCTACAGTGTATTATGTTAAGTGAAATAAATCAAAGGACAAATACTGTATGATTTCACTTACATGTGAAATTTAAAAAACCAAAATAAATGAATAAGCAAAAAAACAGAAACCAATTCATAGATACAGAGAACAAACTGATAGTTTCTAGAAGGTATGGGGATGAGGAGATTGTGAAGAAAATGAAGGGTAATAAGAGGTCTAAACTTCTAGTTATAAAATAAATAAATCATGTGGATGTCTTTAATGTACAGCACTATAGTCAATAGTGTCATAATAACTTTATACAGTAACATATACTAGATTTATCACAACTTCATAAGGTATGGAAATGTTGAATCACTATGTTATAAACCTGAAACTCATGTAATATTGTATTTCAATTCCACTTTAATAAAAGAAAAAATAAAGTCACTGCATTAAAGAAAACAGACCTGGCATATAGTATGTGCTCATTAAGTATTAAATGAATGAATGGCTTTAGAATAATAAAATTCATGTACTCAGTGTTAGTAATCCGAGTCTCATTTAAATAAAATAAAAATGGCAATAAAAGTGTCATTTTTACTGAAGCAGCTCTTATCTTTCTCCTGAATAAACTTAGGATCAACATTAGGTTCTCAGCTTCATCTTGGATTTTAGCAAGTTTGATAGTGCACATTTAAAACGAATACCTTCTTGATGAAGCCTCTGTCAGTATGCCGAATAATGGTTGCTTGCCACTTCCCCCCTGGTTTTGTCCACAAGAGATTTATTTTTAAGTAATTCTCTGAATAGTAAAGAGAATTTAGTGTGGAGTTATAAAACAAGGCCACTTTTACCCTAGAACCAAAAACTGCTTTCATTGTGCAGGAGAGTACTACTTAAATTTTGATTACTTTAAAAAAAATCATATGTCTAATTATTTTCAGGGAAACAGAAAAATTTATGGTAAAAAAGAAATGATGCCAGATTTGACAACATAAGACACATGTCAAAGAAAGACCCACAGATAGATGGCTTCCCACATGCTCTGTGCAAGAACTAAGAGGTGCTCGCAGAAACGCCTGCAAGAGATCTTTGTAGAATAATATTGTACTTTTAAATAACCAAAGGTATTTCTGACGTTTTCTCTCTAAAGGTTTTTTTTTTTTTTTTTAAATGATAAAATTAAAATGAGATGAAATTGCTGACAGAAGCCTGGGCACTGTATAGGCAAATGGAACAAAGGTGACCGAGAGGAGGACTTCAATAGTCAATGACAGAATAGGCAACTGGCTGCTACTCACTGGTTTTCATTTCTGGACTTAAAAAAAAAGTAACTACATACTTCAAGCAAAAGAACATTATTTGAGGAGATGAAAGACATCTTTACAGGGAAAAGAGTGTTGTATTAGATTTTTAAGAGGGCATAAGAAAGGAAGAGAGACAAGTTAAATGGTTACAATCAATTCAGAAGAAATGCAAAATCTTTTGATTTTGTAGAACTTCACTGATACACTATTAATTTTAATTAATAATCTAACATGCTCATGAACTAAATTATGTATTGGAATAATTTTTAAAAAATTTTAATCATACATATAATATTAGGGGAGAGTGCTAAATAGTTCTCTGTACCTCTGAAAAGGAATGAAACAAACATTGCACACTGTAATAATTTTAAAAATAAGCACAAAAATTCCTTTCTGTAAGTCAGATAATATTTAAGATATGTAAATAAAGTTTACACTTTGAAACAACTTTGTGCTAAATCTCACGAATATAATGGGCTTCAAATACTAGTTTGGTCCTTCTCTAGCTGTGTGAACTTGGCCAAGTTATTCACCTTCCTGTGCCTTACTTTTCTCATCTATAAATTGGGTCTAAGAACTCCTTACTCATCAAATTATTTTGAGAATTTAATGAGAAAATGAATAGAAAGCACCTAAAAGAGGGTCTGGGACATAAGGGCTTTATAATTGATAGTAATTCTTATTAGTTACCATTATGATTATTAATCCATCTATAGCATGGATAACCACCTCTTTATTTCTTTAGTTTGAATTTTTAAACATAATTGCTAAATAGGACATTGATTGATTTTAGTCTTTCCCTCCAAATTAAACATTTTCCAAGTTAAACACTAACTATTCTCTATTTCTGTGCAGAACTCCACTTTAAAGATACTCATTATCTGTTGTGAATCACTAAATTTTTTTTCTCTATGCAAAAAGTTAAAATTTACCTAAAAAGGCTAGACTCAATATAAGAAAGAAATGGTCAGCCTGTCATTTTGGATGATATCTGTATCTTCTGAAAAACCTGTACACTCTACATTCACACATACACAATCTTTTCACTGCTGGTCACAGCTTTGTCAGTTTCCACACTGGTAGGTTTCAGGGTGCAAGGCGTCTGTTTGTAATAGATGCTACTGGACTTTTATCACATACACTAATCCCAAGGAATCGAGACAGAAAGCTGAAGCTGGGAAATACACAGGGATTTCTATGAGTCAGTATGTGGAGAAGTGAAAGGAAAGCTATCTTTTTGGTATAGGCATGTGTCCCAAATATAAGTAATGACAAAGATGAACAGTGGAAACAATTTTAACTGTTTTTCAAGAAGAGCAAATAGTCTTAGTCTTCTTACTATTTTTTATTCTAACATCGAACCAAAATCCCTTTCCTTGGCACACTGTGTTACCCACGCCCAGCATCTGAGAAACATACTACTCAGAAAAGTTTAGGAAGGGACTCACCCATGGAAGCCATCATAGGGCCCAAAGTATTTCACTTGTGTTCCTTGCATTTCAAATTATCACTTGCATAAGCATCCTTCTGTCTATTGCAAACTAAAAAGCCACATTTTGGCAACCTTCTCCTGCAATGAAAACTTCTTGGTAAATTATAGAGACAGAGAAAAGACAAGCCTGGAAAGCAGGTTCTCACCTTTGGCTCTGGGCCCCACTGGCATGAAATTCTGCTCAATTCTATGCCGCTCAGAGGTGCAAATCTATTACATGTCCCTCTAGCCCCCAGGAGGTCCTGTCTAGGAATGGTATGAGATTGCAGAGGCTGTCCCAGGAAAAAGACTGAGTCTGGATTCCCACCAAACATTCTCTCTTCTCTCCAGGGTTGTGTTTTGGGTGTTCTAAATTTAGTCTGGGACAGATTTCATTTTACGAAGACAGCCCAAAGGGCTAACAGATGTACCTAACAACAGTGGTGGTTGGCCATTGGTGAAGTTGGAACATAAGAACTAGTGTTTAAATGACAAGTACTGCTTAGCATCAAGCTTGGCTGGATCTGAAGTGTGTGGGTTCCCACCCGCACCACTCACACTTGGAGAGCATATAATCCTGGGCACGTTGAATATCTATGGGCATAAGTGAAATGATCCATTATTTATAGAGATAGGGTCAGCTTCTTTGCTTTCATCGAAATTCAGAGGCACTGAAGGTGAACTAAGTCATCTTTAGACTCTGTAAGAAGGCTGACCACATGCCATGCTTAATGCTGCATCTATATTCTAGTGACTTTGTGCCATTTCTGGTATATTCCATATAGGAATATTCCAGAAGAGCCGAATTGAAGAACTGAATCCTTTATGGAAATATACAGTGATTTCTCGGAGTCAGGAGGTGGGGAAGGGAAAGGAAAGCTGTTCTATTTGTTAATCTCATAAAACATTTAATGCTCTTCAATTTAAGAAATATTTATAGGATATGACTGTGCCAAAATGTAGAGAGTTGTAAAATATGTTGAAGATGGTCTCAACCAACCAACCAAGCAAGCAAGCAAAACAAGGTCCCTACATCTCTGCAGCCCACACTTGACTGCTGACACGGGCACGTACACAAGTAATAATGCCTTCCACTCACTTCACATGTACCAGGCTCAGGGCCATGTTCTCACATACCTGCTCTAAATCTAAGCCCCCAAAGAGCCCAGTGAGCTAGGTGCTACCCTTCGCCCCACTTATTGTTAAGGAAAGAGAGAAGAGTTAAGTAACTTGTTCAATTCACGGAGCTGGTAAGCGGTGGAGCTATAATTCAATCCGAGGCCACCTGGCTCAAGAGTCCAAGCTATTTGCAACTTCTCCGACCCAGTTGTGAGTGAGGGGTAGGACACTCTTACAAACAAGGGAAATACAAAAGCTGCTGCGTGAACTGGATTTAGAAAAGTAAGGAGCAAGTAGGGCATTGGAAGATCACTCCAAACAGAACAGAGACAGAAGTCCTGGGCGTGGCTGAAGGAAGGCGAGCAGACCATTGAGACTGACCGCCGGGCAAGGGGCAGCTGAGAAAGAGATGGCAAGGTAGGTGGTGACTAGACTGTGAAGACCCTGAGGGCCAGGCTAAGGAATGCGGTCCCCTCCTTCCTGAAATACATCAACGAGAAAGCTTTGGCTAAGGGAAATGATGGAATTACACCCTAAGGGATGCAGAGGCATAAAAAGAAGCGTGATGGACCAACTGGAAGTTAAACTCCCTTCCCCCGTGTCGCAAGAGAGGCAGGGTGGCGACTTCGTGATAGGCCTGTACTCTAGGGCAGCAAATGGTTTTGCAAGCCAGCTCTGGCCACCCGGCAGAGCCGTTCGGAAGTGATGTCTGGAAGGTTCTTAAGTTGCATCCAGGCTCAGGTAACGAGGGTGGAATCACCTGGCGATGTCTGCCACGGGAGCAGCAGGGGGCATGCGGGCATGAAGGCCGCACGAGCCAGCTGTGTTCTGGGCGACAGCAATGACACGGAGCCTCCTCCTCGGCTCCCACACCAGAGGCTACGTTCTGTGCAGCCCAGCCACCCCGACCCGAGCTTGTGTGCACCCCTCTTCAAAAGCCCACTTCACAGTGACTCCCACACTGCCCCTTGTCAGCGCTCCCGGTTCTGAGCGCATCCAAAAACGGTTTCGGAGCACGTGTGTAAGTGACCCAGCTCCGAGCATTTTGAGGACTAAGACAAACCACAGGGCAGAAGCCGAGCCTCCGGGGAACACTCACCTTTTTCGCTCCTTGCTCCTCTTCCACGCCGTCGCCGATGACGACGTACACCACTTTCCTCCCAAACCTCTGAATTATCCTCTCGAAACAGCTTTCCTTCCCTAACGCACAGGAAGGAACCATAAACGATGTCACGTTTGGGTAACGAAGCGCTATAGTGCTCGAACTTACTTAAAACGCGTTCTTCGTGCCTCGGATTCAATTGCACCTACCTGCGCAAACTAGACAATTGCTTTCACGTGCCACTTGGGTAGCACGTGGGACAGTACAATAGATTAAAATATAAGCTCATTGCCCACAGGTGTCCCAGCCCTTGGACTCAGCCATTTCATTCCTCTTTTCCCAAGAACTTGTTTATCACAAAGCAGGCTCTTGTCCGGCAAGGCACGGCACCCTCAGGGAAACAGACTGCTTTGCAGTAGTGCTTAATTTTCCCCTACAAGCTGAGACTAAACAAAGGCATGTGATTCTGGCAACACATTTTCACTCAGTTTTTAAAGTGTTTCATGATATATAAAACTCTGAAAATTACATTTGATCCGAAGGCTATTGAGAAGGATGAAAAGAAAAAAAAAAGGAGAAATCGAACAATGGAATGAGTTCATCCCTTCATTTTCAGGTTGGGATTCCATTTGAATTAAATACCCCCAAAGCCGAATGTGTTCGCCTGAAATAGTCTCGTCAACCTGGGTCTGAAATAAATGTCAGGTAATTTGGGGCACTTCAGGGAGATCATGCTTGCCGTACTCAGACATCTAATGTTCAATAAAGCCCTTTCCTAGAGCAGGGGCAACAGAATACCTTTATCTATCTATTATCTTTCCCATGTCAATGCCTCTCGGTTGGGCTCCTAAGGCGGCTAGGCTGTCAGCACACCCTGCGCTTAATGCAGCCATTGTTGCCTCTCAGAGAAGACGCTGGCGCTCCGAGTCCAGGACTGCCAAGGGGGTCATTCTAATGGACAATGGGGCAGTTTATAGTTTTCAAATGTGAATGGCTGAGTGGGGCCTGCATCTCTTTCAAATGAGGATCAGATATACACGCGAACAAATTGCTTGCTTGCTTAAACAAATGTCTGCTTTATATTTGCATTTTGCACTAAAATCTCTAGTTTGCATCTGACAGGACGAAATAGGGCCAGCCCTAGTCAAAGGATGTCATTGCAATGCTTCCTTAGTCTCCCATGAAACTGTGAAATGTTAAATCACTTTCCGAACCAAATACCAAGTACAGTTTTCATTGAAAAAAACATACAACCCAAAACTTGGAGGCCACAAAACTATCTTTTCCTCCTCAGAGGGAAATGTTAACGGTTTTTTTGTCATGTGTCCTTTTCATGGAAAACAGAGAGGTAAACGCCATGTTTCATTAAAGGTGAAGCTATGGTGGACAAAAAAAAAAATTCTCCCCTATATGCTATCACCTATAGGCTACATTCTGAATCTTGGGTCCTGTAGACATTTTGCATAATCAAGATTAAAAAACTGAAGCTCTCTATTCAGAGTGAATTGGAGGTCTCATCTACTAAGAGTGAACTGGAAGTCTCATCTGTGCAGAGTGAACTGGAGGACTCTCATATGTGCAGAGTGAACTGGAGGTCTCATCTGTGCAGAGTGAACTGGGGGTCTCATCTGTGCAGAGTGAACTGGAGGACTCTCATATGTGCAGAGTGAACTGGAGGTCTCATCTGTGCAGAGTGAACTGGGGGTCTCATCTGTGCAGAGTGAACTGGAGGACTCTCATATGTGCAGAGTGAACTGGAGGACTCTCATATGTGCAGAGTGAACTGGGGGTCTCATCTGTGCAGAGTGAACTGGAGGTCTCATCTGTGCAGAGTGAACTGGAGGTCTCATCTGTGCAGAGTGAACTGGAGGACTCTCATCTGTGCAGAGTGAACTGGAGGACTCTCATATGTGCAGAGTGAACTGGAGGACTCTCATATGTGCAGAGTGAACTGGGGGTCTCATCTGTGCAGAGTGAACTGGAGGACTCTCATATGTGCAGAGTGAACTGGAGGACTCTCATATGTGCAGAGTGAACTGGGGGTCTCATCTGTGCAGAGTGAACTGGAGGTCTCATCTGTGCAGAGTGAACTGGAGGTCTCATCTGTGCAGAGTGAACTGGGGGTCTCATCTGTGCAGAGTGAACTGGAGGACTCATCTGTGCAGAGTGAACTGGAGGACTCTCATCTGTGCAGAGTGAACTGGAGGACTCTCATCTGTGCAGAGTGAACTGGAGGACTCTCATCTGTGCAGAGTGAACTGGAGGTCTCATCTGTGCAGAGTGAACTGGAGGAGTCTCATCTGTGGCAGAGTGAACTGGAGGATCTCATCTGTGCAGAGTGAACTGGAGGACTCTCACTGTGCAGAGTGAACTGGAGGGTCTCATCTGTGCAGAGTGAACTGGAGGGTCTCATCTGTGCGAGTGAACTGGAGGACTCTCATCTGTGCAGAGTGAACTGGAGGACTCTCATCTGTGCAGAGTGAAACTGGAGGACTCTCATCTGTGGCAGAGTGAACTGGAGGACTCTCATCTGTGCAGAGTGAACTGGAGGAGTCTCATCTGTGCAGAGTGAACTGGAGGAGTCTCATCTGTGCAGAGTGAACTGGAGGACTCTCATCTGTGCAGAGTGAACTGGAGGACTCTCATCTGTGCAGAGTGAACTGGAGGACTCTCATCTGTGCAGAGTGAACTGGAGGAGTCTCATCTGTGCAGAGTGAACTGGAGGACTCTCATCTGTGCAGAGTGAACTGGAGGTCTCATCTGTGCAGAGTGAACTGGAGGACTCTCATCTGTGCAGAGTGACTGGAGGACTCTCATCTGTGCAGAGTGAACTGGAGGAGCTCTCATCTGTGCAGAGTGAACTGGAGGTCTCATCTGTGCAGAGTGAACTGGAGGACTCTCATCTGTGCAGAGTGAACTGGAGGACTCTCATCTGTGCAGAGTGAACTGGAGGGGTCTCATCTGTGCAGAGTGAACTGGAGGACTCTCATCTGTGCAGAGTGAACTGGAGGACTCTCATCTGTGCAGAGTGAACTGGAGGACTCTCATCTGTGCAGAGTGAACTGGAGGACTCTCATCTGTGCAGAGTGAACTGGAGGACTCTCATCTGTGCAGAGTGAACTGGAGGACTCTCATCTGTGCAGAGTGAACTGGAGGAGTCTCATCTGTGCAGAGTGAACTGGAGGTCTCATCTGTGCAGAGTGAACTGGAGGTCTCATCTGTGCAGAGTGAACTGGAGGACTCTCATCTGTGCAGAGTGAACTGGAGGACTCTCATCTGTGCAGAGTGAACTGAGGGACTCTCATCTGTGCAGAGTGAACTGGAGGACTCGCATCTGTGCAGAGTGAACTGGAGGACTCTCATCTGTGCAGAGTGAACTGGAGGACTCTCATCTGTGCAGAGTGAACTGGAGGGTCTCATCTGTGCAGAGTGAACTGGAGGTCTCATCTGTGCGAGTGACTGGAGGCTCTCATCTGTGCAGAGTGAACTGGAGGCTCTCATCTGTGCAGAGTGAACTGGAGGACTCTCATCTGTGCAGAGTGAACTGGAGGACTCTCATCTGTGCAGAGTGAACTGGAGGAGTCTCATCTGTGCAGAGTGAACTGGGGGTCTCATCTGTGCAGAGTGAACTGGAGGACTCTCATCTGTGCAGAGTGAACTGGAGGACTCTCATCTGTGCAGAGTGACTGGAGGTCTCATCTGTGCAGAGTGAACTGGAGGACTCTCATCTGTGCAGAGTGAACTGGAGGACTCTCATCTGTGCAGAGTGAACTGGAGGAGTCTCATCTGTGCAGAGTGAACTGGAGGACTCTCATCTGTGCAGAGTGAACTGGAGGACTCTCATCTGTGCAGAGTGAACTGGAGGACTCTCATCTGTGCAGAGTGAACTGGAGGTCTCATCTGTGCAGAGTGAACTGGAGGTCTCATCTGTGCAGAGTGAACTGGAGGACTCTCATCTGTGCAGAGTGAACTGGAGGATCTCATCTGTGCAGAGTGAACTGGAGGATCTCATCTGTGCAGAGTGAACTGGAGGATCTCATCTGTGCAGAGTGAACTGGAGGTCTCATCTGTGCAGAGTGAACTGGAGGACTCTCATCTGTGCAGAGTGAACTGGAGGACTCTCATCTGTGCAGAGTGAACTGGAGGACTCTCATCTGTGCAGAGTGAACTGGAGGACTCTCATCTGTGCAGAGTGAACTGGAGGACTCATCTGTGCAGAGTGAACTGGAGGACTCTCATCTGTGCAGAGTGAACTGGAGGACTCTCATCTGTGCAGAGTGAACTGGAGGACTCTCATCTGTGCAGAGTGAACTGGAGGGGTCTCATCTGTGCAGAGTGAACTGGAGGACTCTCATCTGTGCAGAGTGAACTGGAGGCTCTCATCTGTGCAGAGTGAACTGGAGGACTCTCATCTGTGCAGAGTGAAGGGCTAGTGTTGTGTGTAGGGCTCTCATCTGTGCAGAGTGAACTGGAGGTCTCATCTTGCGATGAACTGGAGGAGTCTCATCTGTGCAGATGACGTCTCATCTGTGCAGAGTGAACTGGAGGACTCTCATCTGTGCAGAGTGAACTGGAGGACTCTCATCTGTGCAGAGTGAACTGGAGGACTCTCATCTGTGCAGAGTGAACGGAGGTCTCATCTGTGCAGAGTGAACTGGAGGTCTCATCTGTGCAGAGTGAACTGGAGGACTCTCATCTGTGCAGAGGTGAACTGGAGGACTCTCATCTGTGCAGAGTGAACTGGAGGAGCTCTCATCTGTGCAGAGTGAACTGGAGGAGTCTCATCTGTGCAGAGTGAACTGGAGGACTCCTCATCTGTGCAGAGTGAACTGGAGGACTCTCATCTGTGCAGAGTGAACTGGAGGAGCTCTCATCTGGTGCAGAGTGAACTGGAGGTCTCATCTGTGCAGAGTGAACTGGAGGTCTCATCTGGGCAGAGTGAACTGGAGGACTCTCATCTGTGCAGATGTGAACTGGAGGGTCTCATCTGTGCAGAGTGAACTGGAGGACTCTCATCTGTGCAGAGTGAACTGGAGGAGTCTCATCTGTGCAGAGTGAACTGGAGGAGTCTCATCTGTGCAGAGTGAACTGGAGGTCTCATCTGTGCAGAGTGAACTGGAGGACTCTCATCTGTGCAGAGTGAACTGGAGGACTCTCATCTGTGCAGAGTGAACTGGAGGACTCTCATCTGTGCAGAGTGAACTGGAGGACTCTCATCTGTGCAGAGTGAACTGGAGGACTCTCATCTGTGCAGAGTGAACTGGGGGTCTCATCTGTGCAGAGTGAACTGGGGGTCTCATCTGTGCAGAGTGAACTGGAGGACTCTCATCTGTGCAGAGTGAACTGGAGGACTCTCATCTGTGCAGAGTGAACTGGAGGTCTCATCTGTGCAGAGTGAACTGGAGGACTCTCATCTGTGCAGAGTGAACTGGAGGATCTCATCTGTGCAGAGTGAACTGGAGGGTCTCATCTGTGCAGAGTGAACTGGAGGGTCTCATCTGTGCAGAGTGAACTGGAGGTCTCATCTGTGCAGAGTGAACTGGAGGGGTCTCATCTGTGCAGAGTGAACTGGAGGTCTCATCTGTGCAGAGTGAACTGGAGGACTCTCATCTGTGCAGAGTGAACTGGAGGTCTCATCTGTGCAGAGTGAACTGGAGGTCTCATCTGTGCAGAGTGAACTGGAGGTCTCATCTGTGCAGAGTGAACTGGAGGTCTCATCTGTGCAGAGTGAACTGGAGGAGTCTCATCTGTGCAGAGTGAACTGGAGGTCTCATCTGTGCAGAGTGAACTGGAGGACTCTCATCTGTGCAGAGTGAACTGGAGGATCTCATCTTTGCAGAGTGAACTGGAGGACTCTCATCTGTGCAGAGTGAACTGGAGGACTCTCATCTGTGCAGAGTGAACTGGAGGTCTCTCATCTGTGCAGAGTGAACTGGAGGACTCTCATCTGTGCAGAGTGAACTGGAGGACTCTCATCTGTGCAGAGTGAACTGGAGGACTCTCATCTGTGCAGAGTGAACTGGAGGACTCTCATCTGTGCAGAGTGAACTGGAGGATCTCATCTGTGCAGAGTGAACTGGAGGCTCTCATCTGTGCAGAGTGAACTGGAGGACTCTCATCTGTGCAGAGTGAACTGGAGGACTCTCAATCTGTGCAGAGTGAACTGGAGGACTCTCATCTGTGCAGAGTGAACTGGAGGACTCTCATCTGTGCAGAGTGAACTGGAGGTCTCATCTGTGCAGAGTGAACTGGAGGACTCTCATCTGTGCAGAGTGAACTGGAGGACTCTCATCTGTGCAGAGTGAACTGGAGGACTCTCATCTGTGCAGAGTGAACTGGAGGTCTCATCTAAGTTTTCATTCTGATCAGTGTGTTTTGTCTGAAAGAGCATCAGCACTCTCTGTGGAGCCACCTCCTCCTGTGACCTAGCCACTGGCCTACAAGGAAAATGCCTAGGTTTTCTGCACTGATCCCCGTGTGATAGCCCATTTCATGGCAAAATTAGCACTAACTATAGGAGTTTCTCTACTTTTCTTATTAAAAATATTGTAGAAATGCGACCCCACCACTTTTTGAGATAATTTCTACTATACAAATTTCTTTAATTCTAATTTTTATTCTGTGCTGACAAAAATAAAGTCCAATATGTCAAATAAAATGTCCATAAAAGCCCTGGCCGGTTGGCTCAGCGGTTAGAGTGTCGGCCTGCGGTCCAGAGAGAACCGGGTTCAGTTCCCGCTAGTGCGTGTATCTCAGTTGCAGTCTGTCCCTGGCTCTGGTTGGGTCATGTGGGTGGCAGCCACTCAATGTGTCCCTTTCACGTCGATGTTTCTCTCTCTGTCTCTTCTTTTCCCTCCTCTGTCTGAATAAAGAATGGAAAAATGTCCTCGGGTGAGGATAAAAATCCATTAAAAAATACTTACTTGATCACTATTATAATTTCCTATCATCCTAACACTTTCATATTATTTGGGATTCAAGTTCAACATGCATGACATGCAATGCACTACTTGTTCTTTCTTCCTGGGAAGTAAGGCAATACCCTCTCCCCCCTTCTGTCCCATGTGCTTCTTAGGAATTCGTTTTGGCTTTCATGTGCTGATAAACATTTACCTTGGACCCTCATTCACAAAACACAACATGACTCCTCTGTATTGCTATAGAGAGGATAAATACCCGACTTAATGTAAATTGATAGCCATTTTTATGGAACACGAGAACATAAAAATTTGGTTTTACTGGGCTCCTAGGAATTCTATTCTATTTGGTGTATTCCTTTCTTTTCTATAAGAATTTTCCAGCATTCTGTTCTTGGCCCTTTTCAGGAGTCATCAGTCATTTTCCAACTATTTCCAGCTTCACAGAGCTATCTGAATACCACATATGCTCTTCAAATTCACACGGATAAGATCAAACCCTTCTCTTTCCAATCAAACCTGATTTCCCCATCAGTTAATAGTGTCACTACTGACTCAGTTGCCTAAAAGAAACCTCTGTGTCAGTCTTCTTCAGAATGTGCTGGCCACTAGAGCCACAATGATGAGCGAGACAGACAGACTCAACTATCTGGTGAGAAAGTCAGACTATAAACGAATAACTATACAAGCAATTTTTTAGCCATAATTTAGTAAGTGCTTTGAAGGAGAAGTATGAAAGTGTAGTCAGAAGGAGAGTTAGACATACAGGGATTCCATTTCTTCCCCTTTCCTTTAGAGCTGAGCAGCCAAAGACCACCTTTTTTCCCACCATTAGAATGACATACAAGGCCACTTATGAGCTGACCCAAGTCTACTTTTCCAGTTTCAGCTTCCCATGAAGGCTGCACACTAGTCATCCAGGACCACTCACAAGGCCCTCAGAAGGGAACATGTTTTAATTTCTCTGTCCCTTTGCTTTCGCAAGCCCATCTGCCTAGTATTACCCTTCTATACCCAGCTCAGATGTCACTTCTTCCCTTCAGGCTTCACTACACTTGCCCTCTGCCTCCTCCTGGGTGGAAGTGAATGCTTCCTCATGATGTGCACATTCAGGCACGTAGTGGGAAGACCCCCCAGGGTGTGGAAAGGTGTCTGGACCTTGGAATCAGAGACCTAGTTTGTCTCTTACCTTTACTGGTTATCAACTTGAACAATTACTTTACCTAAGTCTCTAAGGTTTACTTTCCTCAGCTGTAAAATGCAAAGGGAGTGAAGATTGATTTTAACATGTAAAATGTTTAGTACAATTCTGGGCTTCTAATAAATACTTGATAAATGCTCGTTTACACATTTCTTTATAATATTTTATTTAGCTGTCTGTTTCCCCTGCTAGATAGTGAATTCTCTAAGAACAAGAGCTGTGTCTTCTCTTTATCCCAGTTTTATGCTGTTTTGGTTTGTATCCTAACTAAACTTCACTTCAGTCTTCTTTCTTTCCAACCATGTTTCCTTTCTGCAAGAACTTATTTTTTTTTTGTAGCCCCATAAAAAAATGGGACGTCAATGGATTACACATGTTGAATTAAAAGAAAGAAAAAAACCAATTCCAGCAATAGTAATTCAAATAAAGCTGTTATTAGAATTGTTTTATTTCTACTTGGTATATCTCTATACTACTATTTGTTTTAGCTTATAAGATATTTGTGTTGATGTTGCCTTAAAAAATAGGATAATCCAGAATTGATGTTAAGTTGGCTGTAGCTAAAATGCAAAGGTCTTAAAGTTAGCCAGTAAAGTGAAATTTTCTGAATAAAACTACCTACATGGGTTATGACATATTTCTCTTCATGACAAAAACCAATTTTGACAATAAATTGGTTCAATTATTCTTATTTTTTGGCATCTGAAAAAAGTGCTCATTTGATGCCTTCCATTTTTACTAGCTGGAGGGAGAAGAGGCAATTGTAAAACAAAACAAAAGCAGCTCACCTATTTTAGTTGCACTGTAAATGTTTTCTATTGGAAATACAATTCCTAATCCATAGAGCAAGACTTTCGCCAATGCTGGGATAAGCTGAGTCGTTGTTACTAAAATATTCACACAGTTTGTCCTATGAGAACAGAGAGGGGAAAAAGACTTGAAAAATAAATCTCCAAAATGAACAAGTCTGAGCCCAGCTGACTGTGCAAAGATGGTGGGAGGTGGGAGGTGGCAGGTGGGAAGTGGCAGGTGGGAGGTAGGAGGTGGGAAGTGGGAGGTAGGAGGTGGCAGGTGGCAGGTGGGAAGTGGCAGGTGGGAGGTGGGAGGTGGCAGGTGGCAGGTGGGAAGTGGCAGGTGGGAGGTGGGAGGTGGCAGGTGGGAGGTGGGAGGTGGCAGGTGGCAGGGCTCACCGGGAGTGAATGAGCGTGAGTGCTTTCAGGGCCAGTGTCAACCAGGAGTCTGTCAGGGCTTCGATCTCAGCCCTCAGCTGCAGCCAGGCTTCCCTCTTGGCTGGACCCAGCAGACCTGTGGATGTAGAAGCACATGAACTACGTCCTTGCCATCATGTCTCCAACTCTGTAAGGAGTAAACATTTCATGCAGCTACTGCCACCACCCTCCAGCTTCACAGTACACCAAGCCATTTGACAAATATTTAGGACTGTAGGAAACATCTATTGAGTGTGCATTCCTAGTATCTCTTCTTCTGGTTATAGAGGTCATCTCTTCCTATAGGGAGCCTGTTGCCACCCATTCCTCTAACCATGGAGTGTGGACAGAGCCCTACCCTCTGGCTCCCAGGGTAGGAGTATGACCCTGCTTGGCCAGTGAAAGTCAGTCTTATACTTCTGCTGAATCCATTGGGAAAGATATTTCTCCACCCAATGGAGGCACTGGTCGCATGTAAACCTGGACGTACCAGTGGTCATCTGTGCCACCTTTTGGGAGGGACTGACCTAGAATGACTCCTAAAGGAAACACTAGGCAAGAGATTTGAGCTCCTGCATCTAGCCTTGCTGGAAACCAACATCACCCCCAAAGTTTCATGAATAAGCCAATATGTTTCCTTTTGTGCTAAAACCATTCTGAACCCACATGAAAAGATCCAAACTAATACAAGCATCTAGTGGGTATAAGGCGCATTTTACAAGCTATCTCAAGTCACATGGGCAAGAATTGCTAATCCCATATCACTGGAAGGACAACTGAGTGTCGCAGAGGTCAAGGAACTGACTCCAGGTCACACGCCTGCTATTAAGTTATGGAGCCAGGACTAGACTAGACTTGCCAGGGCAGCTGGCTCCAGTCTCATATTCCTGCCACTAAATCACAGCAGAATAATCACCAGTCAGACAAAACTGCTCTAAAAGAAAGTTATTACAGCCCCCAAAAAAGCATGACACAAAAGTAAGTGTGTGGGACTCTGAGAATTTTATCTAGACTGTCTTAACTAACCCAGTGAGAGACTGGTGACAGTCACTTGCCTCCAACATTGTTTTTGTAGGTGTTGTAGATCTCTTTTACTCGTCGGTAGCGGAAAGCCAGCTTCCGCATCCAGTCCACACCGCCGCGCACGCCGGTTGCCAGGCATAAATTAGCGCTGGTGGCTGCAGCAGGAAAGCCATCTGTTCCAAAGTTATATGTGCTATTTAGATGCAAGAAAAGCCCAAAGTTAACCAAAGAAACTTCATCTCAATTAGCCGAGCAATTAAAGTATACAGTGGGGTTAATGACTTCCCATTTCTACGTGCTCACCTTAGGTCTTGACCATTATCATCTGAAGAGACATCATCTATATGAACTTGGTCACATTCCTAAAATGCAATTAAAATGCTACATGTCATTTTCCAAAAAGCATTTAATTTTTTTTAAAACCACAGATGGCTATTTAAACACCCCCACAACTTTAATGGGACTGCTTTCCAACTGTGTCAATCAGTAGGTGGCAGTCTTGTTAAATTGACATTTTTACCTACTTTGGGTCCTCTTTTAATGTAGGAAGCGAGCAATGTCATTAGGGACTACTGTTATTCAGCTTCAGAAAACAGATTTTTGTGTTTAGAAAGGAAAGTGATTGAAAACAATTAGCATATGTGTTCCATAAACCTCAGGTACCTGAAGACATCATGCTGCTCGGAGCTGATCCAGTCAATGCCTTCGCATAACTGAAACCAGACATTTCGGTAAATGTAACATGCTAGAAAAATTAAACCTGATGCTAACTGCCAATGAAATTATGACCTCTGATTGCTGTCGAGCCACACACCAACACAGCCTGAGGCCAGTGTGCTGAGGAGCCCAGACCAAAAAATCTGTTACTGGTTTGCTATTGATTTGAGAGATGTGAGTTTTATTTTCTCTCTCTCTCTCTCTCTCTCTCTCTCTCTCTCTCTCTCTCTCTGTGTGTGTGTGTGTGTGTGTGTGTGTGCGCGCGCGCGCAAGTGTAGAAGGAAAAACACGCGGGAGACTTCACAATCTAAAAACAAACAAACCATGCAATGTGTTTTATTTATTTTTTATTCCTATTTTTTACTGTTTCACTATTATTACATATTCATTTTAAGCACTGGGTTTATGAGTTAATTATAGAATGATGTTATTTGAACAGACCTGATTTTTAAGTCCCAAACCATGTGTAAACTCTTGAGAAGAGGCAGCCATAGCTGTGGGCTAAAGCTGTGCTGGGCCAAGCTCATGTGCATGCACCTGTTAGCCTATGAGCGCCCCATGTCTTCTCCCTGGGTCCCCAGCCCTAGCGTGTGTAGTTGTGGGAGGACCGATCTCACACAACTCAGCAAAGCTGAATTCAACAAACATTTGTTGAGCAAATGAAGGCACACTAACTCGGAGACAGACGAGGCCCCTCACCCAGAAAGAAATCGCACACACTGGGCATGCTTTAATACTTCAGTCATGAGTCTCCTCTCTGCAGGCGGGCTCCAGATACCCTGGCAGCCTGCAGTATACTGATTTCCCTGAAAAGTTTTAGTTCAAAGATATTATGAAGAGAAATTCCCAGGCACACGTCCTATATTTTAAAAGGGTCTTCTGATGAAAGGTCTGGTCCTATTTCCTTATAGATCATTGAATAAAACCTAGCCTATGCTCAGAGTGCTTAACATTCAATTCATGCAGCCAAGATGACATCCGCAAAGCACCACAGTAACAGAAGGTGTATTTGTATGTGGCCGGCTCCTTCTGAACAAATTCTTTGCTCTCCATGGATTTGCAAGGAAGGGAGCAGGAGATAGACGTGGAAGGAAACGCAAACCAGCTGTTGCTTAACAGAATTAAAACCCTGACCCCAACCCCTTCTCCAAAGCATCTATTTTGCAGGCAACCGGCTCCCAGCAAGCAGCAAGTTCTAGGGAGGAAAAGACTTTGACCTTGTAACCCTCGCCTGCTCTCCTGAGGTCTATAACCTCAGATAAGAAGAAAGGAAAAGCCAGTCCGGGAGCCTCACATGTGGACGGCGGCTTTCACATTTGAAGACCAGGTCATTTCTGGAAAACACGTTTGGGCCCTTCTCAGAGTTATTCATAATCGTCTTTCCAAAGAGGAATGCTAGCTGTTTTTCCGATAACGTACTTGCTCTGGCTTTGAAGTGTTTCTAAGTCATGAGTAGCCGTTTCCTCCATTATCTAGTCAGAAATACAGTCGTTTACTGTTGTTGGTAAATGACTCTCTTTGGGCGCCTGGTGCATGGGCGCAAAAAGCGTACCTCGAAAAGCCTCCCCCACACAACCAAGACCAAAACGCCATGGTGATGTTTCTCTCTCGGGAGAAAGAGCAGACAGGAGGCAGCTGAGGAGTTACAAGAGGAGAAAACACGTGGAAAAGACCCGATTTCCAGGAATCCAAGTTGACCTCCAGTGACTAGGCTGACTCAGGGCGTGGGGGGAATTCTTTGGGAAAGCAGAGTGTTAAGAAGCTTTTCTTAAACTAAAGCCCCTGTAAATCCCCATTACTAACAGAGAAGTCAGTTATCTAATAATGACCGTTAATGACTCCATTGTGGCTATTGTCCCCGCATCCTGTGTTTGTTTTCTCCTGCGTGCTGGGTTGGAGCCTCCCAGTCCCCAGGCTGGGGACTCATTTGAAGTTCTGTTCAATACCTTGGTGAGCCCTAATTAAGTGTCCCTTTTACCTGCAGATACCAAACTCACTTCCCCGTGACTTGATAAAAGCCAAGTTTGGTGTGGTGGCAACAAGGAAATCCTCCTTCATCAGGATAATTTCTGTAGAATGATTTTAATGACAATCGATGCAAAAATCAAGAGCGGGTTTTAAAAGGCCTACTTAGCACCTCAGGAATTAAAAAACAACAAACAAACAACCACTACCATTAAAATGTTTATGTTAAATGTGTTTTGGGATTGTTGCTCATTTCCCTGAACAACAGAAAAATACCATACTGCACAAATTGCAAATTGATAAAGTACATACTGAAGATTCATTACCTATAAGTCTTTGTATGAGTTTACAAAGAGTGGTATAAATGTTTTGGGAAATAAGCTGTGTATGTGTGTGGATTTTAGAAAATTTTAATGCGAAACTGTAACATTGCTCTCTTGATGTTTCCCTACTAAAAAGGTTAATTCCTCAAAAACTGGAGACTACTGAGCCACTGCGGGTCTCCCAGCAGAACTGCGGACGGTGCTGGGTACATTCGCCACCGGACTGGAAACTGCAGGTCCCCGCACTCTGACCCTCCTCTGCGGGGATGCGACTCCCATCTCCCACTCTGCCGAAGAAGGCATCTTGTGTTTTGTTTATCTTCTTAAGAGCCTAATTTTAGGTTTTCATTTTTGCTTTCTGGACTTGGTTGTTTTTTTTAAATTAAAAAAAAATTTTTTTTTCTTTATTGATTTTAGAGAGAAAGGAAGGAAGAGAGAGAGACAGAAACATCGATGAGAGAGAACATCAACTGGCCGCCTCCTGCATGCCCCCCCCCCCCCGGGGATCGAGCCCACCACCTGGGCATGCGCCCTGACCAGGATCCAGTGACTTCCTGGTGCATGGTTGATTTTTAGTTACCAAATTTGTTTTAAATCCAAAACTCAGATAACTGAGGGAGGGGAGAGGAGGGCTTGGCCCACGGAAGCGACAGCGAAGTAGGAGCCCCACTGGCAGAATCCAGACACAGAAGACGAGAATGGAAGGAAGCATCCCACATTTTTAGGCGCCCAAATATATTTCTAAAACCCCACTTCGGTGCTTAATACACAGAGGGCGGAACATATAGAATTCCATGGGAAAATAAATTTCTACTTCAAAAAGACAGAATGTGCTGAAAATGGACTTTTGAAATAAACTTCCGAAAATTTAATGATAGGGTTTTAAGGCGCTCAAGTCATCACTGAACCCTGCTCAGGACAGTGGTCACACGCCCGGGCCGGCAGGGCCAGGTCAGCAGTTTGGCGTATTGTACGCATTCGGCTGGCCCGCTGAGGCTTGGATGCCCGAGGGAGCCCCACCTCAGGTTCCAGCGTCTGGCCTGGGGCCTCTCTGGGCAGCAGCAGCTAGACTCCTGGTAGATTCTGCACCCAACACCCATCCCAGGCCACTAATGGGTGCTTTAGCTTAGGAGGGTTGTGACTTGTTCAAGTATCCAATTATTAAAGGGCTGCCATGTTCTAGGTGCTGTTCTAGACGCTAAGGACACACCATTTAACACACAAACGTCCTTCCCATTTTGGAATTAACATTTGAATGGGGCAGATACTCCAAAACAAGAAAGTGTGCAAAATGTACAATATGTCAGATAGTGCAAAGTGCTGAGGAGAAGAAATACAGCGGGCAAGGGAAATATGCAATTTCTGGGGAAACAGAATGTCTGGGCAAACAGCCTTGCAGGCCAAGGAAAGAGCAAGTGCAAAGGCCCTGAGACGGGGAAGCCTCTTGTGCTAAAGGGTGGGGCAGGAGGGAGGAGCAAAGAGGAGAATTGGAGGGAAAGCATTAGGTGGCTGGTGGGTAACAGCAAGGGGTGGGCTTTGAAAGTTTCATCAGGTTGAGTCCCTGCCCTCAAGGCACTTACTGGTACCCAGAAAAGACAGAAGTTCATTAATTACACAGGTGATACATTCCAGTTGTGATAAATGCTGCAGAACCTCCCTGGAACCCAAAGGGACATCCTCCTGCTCCGTGGTCGACGTCTATTAGTCCGAGAGGGTGGCACAGGTCTGGAAAACTGAGATGATATTTTGGTAGATCAGGGAGGGTCAGCAGGACCCAGCCTGTATCCTTGCTGCTTTGGGGATGGCAGTGATCGACTGCTGGGGACGGTCCACAGCCACTGAGGCCGAGATGGTGAACAGAACAAAACACAGCTCTGTGACCCCAGACTGTCAAAGCCAGACCTGTGCTTTCGCTGGCTGTGGGCAGGGTGGGGGGCGCGCTCAGTGGAGAAGCTGTCCTTCTCACCAGGACATGCCCCGACCAGAGACGCGGGGAGCCCCGGAGCTGCGGGGAAAGGCTCCTGAAGGTAGTTTCCTTTGCCCCCAAGACAGAGGTAGAGCTGGTCTGGGGGCGGGCTAGGGATCAAAGACCGGGAAAAAAGGTCATTTTTTGCTAAGGGCCTTCCAAAGGGATGTCAAAATCGGCAACATTTTTTGCATAAAGGCTCTTTGTCAGTCAACAATGGAGGAATATATATGTTATGCTGCTGTTCACATACCCCATACAGCACAGACGACCGAAGGGAGGGCCAGGGCCAGGAAAGTCTACACATCCCCGCGTTTAGATGCGGCAAAGCCTCAGCCCACTGCTCCAGGCTGGGGTCGGGCCTCGCTTTCCACAGTCCTAAAGCTCCAGG